TAGCAGTTTACTTTACATTTATTGATTTGGTTTTCATCACATGTGATATTGGGCTTAGAGCAGGATTTTCCTCTTTTTTTCTACATTGGTTGAGTAATGAATGGTTTCCTGACATGTGCCAACATGACCTGTATTTAGCTTGCTTGAGCTCAGTTTATGGGGCAGTATATCATTCTTGCATTTCCATAATTGAAAACAAAGTGCATAAACTGTCCTAAAAACCCATATTTTGCAGAAACTGAACTAACCAAGCCAGTCCCCCATTGTCAAATGCCTTTTCAGCATCAATTGTTATCAAGGCTATTTATATGTTTGGATTGTTTTTTGCAAATTCAAGAGCAGCCAATACTTTGGTATATTCAAAACCTCTGAGCGGATTTTTTATGAACCCAACCTAGGTTGATGTTATTAAAGGTTAAAATCAAGGATAGATTGATCCTTGATTTTAGGCTTGTAGGTATAATATAGGCCTCTTTTCCTGTATTCAAATAGTCTCTTCCAGACCACATGTCAGAATATAATGCATATAATTAATGGGGAAAATTGCATTTGTAATATTTTATATAGCTCCCCTGTATAGCCATCTGGTCCTGGGGCTTTTTCATTTGGAAGTTGCTGAATAATCCTTTTAATTTCTTCCACTGATATGGGACTATTGAGGACTGCTAAAGCTTCTTAGGGATATTTTGGAGATAGGAACTTGCCACAAAAAATATTTTCCCACCAATGCATCCATCTTTTGCAGTGAATATAGATCTCAATTAAATTGCTCTAATATAGAGTTTATCTGTTTAGGATGGTAGGCTATTGTTAGTATCCTTAAAGCATTGATGTATGTAGAAAATAGATTTCCCCTAGTTAGATTTGCTAATAACTTTCCTGCTTTATTCCCATATTTATAGAAATTTAATCAGATATAGGCTTCAAAATTTAACTCCACTTGTGATGCTTAATAATCAAATTGTTGTTTTGCCTTTAGCCATCCTTCACTAGACTGTTTCAATGGAGAGTATGATGAGAGAGTATGAGCTGATTTGAATTTGAGCTCTACAAAGTAAACTGCTTGCTTCATTATACTGGGCTCTAACTGTTTTCTTTAAAAGCTGTAACATAGGATATAATCTTGCCTCTCATGTATGCTTTACCTGTTTCCCAGAATAACTTCATATTGGTTCTATGCTCAGCATTATTTGCTTTATATTCCTCCATGGCCTCCCTCAACGTATGTCGAAAATGTTTATCCTGAGACAAATGGGATGAGAAACTCCAAAGCATGGCATCTCCTTTTGGTATATAATCTTGTATTTCTACCACTACTGGCCAATGATCAGATATAGCTGTATAGATGTATATATAGATGTATTTCCACATCCACTATATGATTGCATAGGCAGGGTTACAAATATTTAATCTATCCTTGTAAAAGTTTGATGAGAGTGAGAAAAAATGTGTACATATTCTCTCCGTTGGATTCCTCATTCTCCATATATCTACAATATCTAGTCTCTCTGTCATATCTTGTAATAAAGTAGGCTTTAAGATCTCATTTCTAAGTTTGCCCCATACTTTTTCCTTAACAGGTTTCCTATCTTCATCCTTAGCCTTAATCAAGTTGAAGTCTCCTGCTAAGATTATATCTTTAATTTCATCTTGCACAATCCATGAAGTGATTTTATGGAAAAAAGTTTGGGAAGCAGAGTTCGGAAAACATAAAAATTATACACATATAGCTTTTTACCAGAAATATGTAAACTAATATGAAGCTTTCTTCCTTCATCATCATATCTTTTTGAAAGAACAGTGTAATTTAATGATTTATTTAAGATAATTATAACTCCTGCTCTTCTACCCACTTAGAGGGTACCAATGACCTCATCAACCAAATATTTCTGCATCCTATGCAAATCTGTAATCGGCAGATGTGTCTCTTGTAACAAGACCACATCCGCCTTTAAACATTTCAAATGTCTCAGTACCATATTGCGCTACGAGAGGGACCACAAACAAATTACATTCCAGGAAATCACCTTCATGTAGACCCTGCTCCAAACATATAAAGATTAATACAATGTAGTTTTCCATCTATTAAGTATGGAAAATTACAATCTTTTATTGTATAAAAGTAGATCCAAAGTTTTAGAGAGTTATGTGCATGCAGTACATGCCATGAGTTTATGAGTCACCACCAACTTTGAACACATTATGGAAAACACAAAGACAAAAAAAAAAAATTTTCACGAAGGAAAAAAAAAACCCCAGAAAAAACAACAGCTTTCTTGTTGTTGACTTCCTTTTTTCCTGTGTTGTGAACCACGAATTTTACCTATTGCTCCAAAATGACCCGTACTCTTGCCTGCACTCGGTTTATGTGGCAGTATACCATTCTTGCATTTTCAAGCTGTAGGTGGGATATTTTGTAGTGTCTTTCAATGGATATCTTTGGATCCAAATTCACAAAGATGTTCTGAGATACAATCTATCTTTCTGTTAGTAAGAATGCTGGAACATCTTGCCATGTGAGGGACCTGGTACAATGATAGGTTCGGACTTGAGCTGTATACCAAGGATCAAAATCATCCAAACAATCGCTGTGCCTTTGGTAGTCATCCGCATCTTTGCCAAATAACGATCTGGTTTGTTTGCACTTTCAATCTTGATCAATATACTATAGGATCAATATGGATTCAATATGGATGCTATTAAAGAAAAATAGTTTTAATATGTAATATTATCAATTAATTATTTAGATTGTGTAGCTATGCTAAATATCAACTGATTAACCACATTATTATGGTATTCTGCTATAATTGGTGGAACCAATAAAACTGTGTAGTACTTGAGATATGAACATCTGGATGTTGAGAGAGGAACATCACAATGTTAAATCATTATAGTAACATTTTCTTATGTTACTAATTAAAAATCTTCTTCAACATTACCTTGCATCATTCTCAGTTGAGACCTAGGATGACAAGCACGTAATCGATTAATATGAACCCAATTGTCGACACAATCACCATTTTGACAATTCTTATTTTGTATACTATGGGTGAAACTTTGTCAATAATAGTATAAGGACCTTTCTATGAAGGAAGAAATGTATTTTATTTTATTCTATCTTGAGCAACGTTGTATAAATACACTTTATCATTTACTTCATACTCCTTCTTGTTAGTTTTGAGATCATAATAAGTGTTGATGCTTAATATCGTTTTTCTCTAGATTCTTCTGTGCAAAGGCAAGAAAGCATGTTGAAGGTGCTGTTGAAGGTTTTCAACATATTGATGTGTCGTGGCTGCATTAATCAGGTTATGATTAGAGATGAGCGAATTATTCAAAAATTCGATTCGGCTGATTCGGCGAATTCGCGGAATAAATTCGATTCGAGTCGAATATATTCGCTGCGAATTTAACTTATAAAAAGGGTGTTTCTAGGCTTCAGAGAGCCTTTATATTAGTGCAGAACACTGGACCTTTAATTTAAATGCCCTTGGAGTCTGCTGGGGAAGAGAAATAATACTGTCAGTCAGTATGACATGCAGATGAGTGCCGTCGATCTTAGAATCACCGCACACTTCACTCATTTGGGCAGTCACGGGGCCAAAACCAGAGTGTGGAGCCACAGTGTGGCGGTGGAGGCAGCAGCAATGGGAGGCCATACAGCACCCTATGAAAAAATGGAACCCACCAGCAGTGTGAGGAGACCTGAAAGTGGCACATGGCAGAGTGTGGCGATGGAGACAGCAGCAATGGAGGCCATACAGGGACCCATGACACACTCTGGACCTGGCAGCAGCATGAGGAGGCGGTACAGGGGCCCATGACAGATTACGGGCCTGACAGCAGCATGAGGAGTTGGTACGGGGCCCATGGCAGATTACGGGCCTGGCAGCAACAATGGGAGGCCATACAGCACCCTATGACAAAATGGAACCCACCAGCAGTGTGAGGAGACCTGAAAGTGGCACATGGCAGAGTGTGGCGATGGAGACAGCAAGCAATGGGAGGCCGTACAGGGACCCATGAGACACTCTGGACCTGGCAGCAGCATGAGGAGCGGTACAGGGGCCCATGACAGATTACGGGCCTGGCAGCAGCATGAGGAGTCGGTACGGGGGCCCATGGCAGATTACGGCCTGGCAGCAGCAATGGGAGGCCGTACAGGGACCCATGACACACTCTGGACCTGGCAGCAGCATGAGGAGGCGGTACAGGGGCCCATGACAGATTACGGGCCTGGCAGCAGCATGAGGAGTCGGGTACGGGGGCCCATGGCAGATTACGGGCCTGGCAGCAGCAATGGGAGGCCCGTAATCTGCCAGCACCCTATGACAAAATGGAACCCACCAGCAGTGTGAGGAGACCTGAAAGTGGCACATGGCAGAGTGTGGCGATGGAGACAGCAGCAATGGGAGGCCGTACAGGGACCCATGACACACTCTGGACCTGGCAGCAGCATGAGGAGGCGGTACAGGGGCCCATGACAGATTATGGGCCTGGCAGCAGCATGAGGAGTCGGTACGGGGGCCCATGGCAGATTACGGGCCTGGCAGCAGCAATGGGAGGCCGTACAGGGACCCATGACACACTCTGGACCTGGCAGCAGCATGAGGAGGCGGTACAGGGGCCCATGACAGATTACGGGCCTGGCAGCAGCATGAGGAGTCGGTACGGGGGCCCATGGCAGATTACGGGCTGGCAGCAGCAATGGGAGGCCCGCAATCTGCCAGCACCCTATGACAAAATGGAACCCACCAGCAGTGTGAGGAGACCTGAAAGTGGCACATGGCAGAGTGTGGCGATGGAGACGCAGCAGCAATGGGAGGCCGTACAGGGACCCATGACACACTCTGGGACCTGGCAGCAGCATGAGGAGGCGGTACAGGGGCCCATGACAGATTACAGGCCTGGCAGCAGCATGAGGAGTCGGTACGGGGGCCCATGGCAGATTACGGCCTGGCAGCAGCAATGGGAGGCCCGTAATCTGCCAGCACCCCCTATGACAAAATGGAACCCACCAGCAGTGTGAGGAGACCTGAAAGTGGCACATGGCAGAGTGTGTGGCGATGGAGACAGCAGCAATGGGAGGCCGTACAGGGACCCATGACACACTCTGGACCTGGCAGCAGCATGAGGAGGCGGGTAGTACAGGGGCCCATGACAGATTATGGGCCTGGCAGCAGCATGAGGAGTCTGTACGGGGGCCCATGGCAGATTACGGCCTGGCAGCAGCAATGGGAGGCCGTACAGGGACCTATGACACACTCTGGACCTGGCAGCAGCATGAGGAGGCGGTACAGGGGCCTATGACAGATTACGGGCCTGGCAGCAGCATGAGGAGTCAGTACGGGGGCCCATGGCAGATTACGGCCTGGCAGCATCAATGGGAGGCCCGTAATCTGCCAGCACCCTATGACAAAATGGAACCCACCAGCAGTGTGAGGAGACCTGAAAGTGGCACATGGCAGAGTGTGGCGAAGGAGACAGCAGCAATGGGAGGCCGTACAGGAACCCATGACACACTCTGGACCTGGCAGCAGCATGAGGAGGCGGTACAGGGGCCCATGACAGATTACGGGCCTGGCAGACATGCATGAGGAGTCGGTACGGGGGCCCATGGCAGATTAACGGGCCTGGCAGCAGCAATGGGAGGCCCGTAATCTGCCAGCACCCTATGACAAAATGGAACCCACCAGCAGTGTGAGGAAGACCTGAAAGTGGCACATGGCAGAGTGTGGCGATGGAGACAGCAGCAATGGGAGGCCGTACAGGGACCCATGACACACTCTGGACATGGCAGCAGCAAGAGGAGGCTTACAGGGGCCCATGGCAGAGTGGCGAAGCGTTAAGCACGTTAAGTGAAGGCCATACTGAGGCCTATGTTTAAAAATAATAACATGTTTGGGGCACGCTGATTTCATGGCGGATTTAGTCAGTTTGTGTCAGGAACTGGTGTTTGAAATCCAGACTTAATCAACGCCTGATTCAATATTTCACAAACGTGAGTCCTCTCCACCACTTTGGGTGGACAGTCCGTGTCCGCCGCGGAGTTACAATACCTCCTCCTGCCATGCACTAAACACGACGCGCTCCCGATGCCAACGCGCCATACTGGCCGGCATCGAACAGCCTTTCAAGGGCAAATTCAGCTAGTTGGGCAAAGGTCAAGTTTCGTTGCCCAGTAGTCAAGGGGGATTGTCTACCTCGGTGTTGCAGGGTGCTGTCCAAGTAGGCCCAAGCCTGTTGTTTTGAGGTCCTGCTCCAGGGTCCACCTGATGCTGCTTTGCTTGCTGGCGGCTGGTTAGTAGTTTACCTCACTGCGCTATGGTGAAGAACTAGCTACTCATCATCGACTGCAGACTGAGAGCATATGCCGCTGCTGGTGGGAGGCATGCACTGCCTCCTACCTACCCAGTATACACCCCTCCCCTGCTGCCACTGGCAGCGAACGCGAGCGCACAGGTCCCACAGTGTATCTGGGATGATGCACGTTGGCGCAGAAAGGCAGAGACCACTGACTACATAGGTGGTTTTTAATAGTACGATTATTTTGGGCCTTCCCTCTCAGCAGCATGTGAAAAAGAGGCCACCATTTTTTGAACGGTAGCGAGGGTCCAACAAGGTTGGAACAGCCAAAAGTCATCCCTCTGAATCTAGATGGTTATTATTCGGCACTGTCCGCTACGCAGCAACTGAGCATGCTATGGTGGAAACCATTTTTGCCAAGGAATGCGAGGGACTATCCCTGCTCCATCTCCACAGCAATTACCTGCCACGCGGTGCGTCGGGGCGGTCCTCTGTCTCCTCCTCCTCCGTCCTCTACCCCAGATGCTCCTGCTCCTCCACTCCTGGTCCGCGTGAGTTGGAAAACCCACACCCATTTCACGTCATTTATTCCTGAGCAACAAAATGTCCGTCCCTCTACGTCCCCCTCTTCTCTCCTGTCCTGCCCCCACAGGGGTCCATGGTGGCTATGAGATCTGTGCGCCACGTCTACACGCACCCTGACCAGCTCATTGTTTAACAGCATTTAGACCAGGGACTGTGCAACAGAGGAATGACGTTGTTCATTCCCAAGTCCTCCACCACAATAGCGGGGCCCCCTAAAAGGGGCCCGGGGGCAAGCGGCAGGTGTACCGCAGCGTCCCCCAATGGCTGCCCAACTAATTTTAAAAACGGGGGAAATACCTTTACCCCGCTTGTAACATCAGGAAATCTGAGGGCCTTTTGTTTGTTCGAAAAAGGCGGTCTAACATATTTTAGGGTTTTGGAATTCCACCTTGTTGCAACGCGCAGATCATCAAAGCTGTGGAATTCTGCCGCTGCACCCAAAGGGAGGGTGTTTTTTGGCGTTTTGGAAGGGCCCTGAAATGCATAAAATTTTTAGGGTGACTTTTTAAAGGGAATGCCCGGGGAAAGGGAAGGAGGGTTTTAAAGGAAACCCGGGTTTGACAACCAGATTGAACCCCGTCCCCCATGAAATGGCGCATGGAGAAACCCCCTTCCTTGACGCAGACGACCCCCATGTTCTTTTCCTTTGTCGGTCAACATGGTTTCCGTTTTTTCATTTTGGGGGGAAGACGGGCCATCTGCTTTTTCCCCTTTTTCATTACACTCAAATTTCCCTCCCCGGGGAAAACAACTTTTCCGCCAAGGCATCCCCTTTTTGGCACAAGCGTGACACCTTTGGGCGCCCGCACATGTGATAGGGCCCGAGGGGGAGAAATTGGGACTTGGAAACGGGGGGTGGTGGCTGAGGAAAACCCGGCGGAAGAAGAGGTGGTAGAGGGGGGCCCATTTTTGGGCTGGCCCAAAAGGGAAACTGAAAAACGTGGAGGCAAAAGCGGCGGGGCCCAATCCTTTTTTGCGGGAACGGCTGTCCCGGGCACCACGTTCACCCAGGGGGGCCAAAATTTCCCATGTACTGCCCCCAAAACCTTTAGTTACAGCTCCAAAAACGTCGGCGCTGCCGGGGCATTTTGGGGCAGAGCCCGCCCATGCTCAAAAAACTGGCCCAACCAAACTCTTCTAAAAGTAATCAGGGCTGGCACTGCCTTTTGGGCAAGAAATCCCCGGTTTGGGGCACTCTCCCCCGGGGGGCGCGGCACAACCCAAACATTTCTCGGAAAGGTTTTTGAGTCCACCATTTTGGAAAAGGGGGGGGACTGCAGCCCACAATTTGGGACGGGAGGCCCTTTCCAGTTTTCTGCCCCACGGGTGTTTTTGCCCCGAAAAACTGTTGTCTTTTGGGAAACGGATTCCAAGAAAGACTGCAACGGAACCCGTAAAAGAGGAGTACAGGAAAAGGGAGATCTGAACAGCGGAAGATGCCAAAAAATCGACAACTCCCCCACAAGTTTTGGCGGGGCCTTGCCCGGGCCCTGATAGAGGGCAATTGAATTTGGGGTGAGGGAGAAAAGTAACGGAGCGGGTGATGGAGCGGGGGCGGGGGCGGGCAAACCGCCTTTATCTTTTTTCGGGGGTTTTTTTCCCAGGCCAACCGAAGGGCGACGCTGCATTTTGCACGCAACCTGAAAATCCCAGCGGGGGGCCACGCCCCCGGGGCCCCCTTTTACTTTCGGGACCAAAAATCGACAAAAGGGCTAGGGTTTACTTCCTCGGGGCCGCTTAAACAAAAAAATTGGGCCACACCGCCGGTAAAAAACTTTGCCCCCCTACTCCCCCACGGGCCCTGACTGCTGTTTCCCCCCCTTCCCCGGGGCACACCGGCACCACTACGGGCCGTGGGGGTAGGGCTGCAGGGGAAAGCTGGGGCCTTTTAACCCCCCGGGGCCCCTTTGCCTCCACTGACACGCTGGGGCCCCTTTGCGGGCCCTCCTGGAAACCCCCAACCGACTTTTTTTGCTCCATGCAAAGCTCCCCACCCTCTTCTCCTGTTTG